TATATATATATATATATATAATTGATTTCAGTTAACTCTAAAAGTATTAAATTTTAAAAAAGTTTAAAAATAAAAAGGTTTTTAAATATAATTGAATTTTTCTTTTTTTTTTCAGTTAACTGAAATTATAAAAAAGTTACTTTAATAACTAAACAATTTTATTGTATTTCTAATTACATTTTCATCATTTTTAAGTGTTGAAATGTTAAAATCAGGAGAATTATACTTTGTGGCTTCTGTAGGATGTATATTACATTTTTTAAATTATATTTTAAGATAATTTAGTGTTATTTGTGTTTTTAATACAATAAACAAGTAAATATTTTTCTTATTTTTGATAGTAAGTTTATGATTGCATTTAACTCTGAAAGTAAAAGTATACTTTATAATTACATTTTGTTTGTTAAATATTTTTAATAAGATTTTTTTGATCAAATATTAAGTATTAAATCTTACTTCATTTTTTTTCTTAACTGACTGCTAGCTAACTTCTTTTTTTAGGCCACATTTTCCAAATCCAGCTTTTTCTCCAAAAAGTGAAAAGGTCACCACGAGTACACTGTAAACTCCAATCTAGCTGAAGGTTGATCAAGGCCACATCTTTATTCATGTGCTAAATATTTCATCACAGATGAATCATAGGTCGAAGAAGTTTAATTAATCAAGATTTCAAGTAGTCAAAAGTGCCTCTAATTGAAGAATCGCCTTCATACGTCACACACGGACTGAACCCACTCTCAAAACCCAGTCGCTTTGCGTATAGTGATGCCTCGTCTCTTGCCTTCATGATCAAATTGAAGCATATTCAGTGCTCTGAATGAGACTGACAACCGTATTCCCCTGCTGTGTGAACACAGCCACAGAGATTTAGAGGAAAAGGAGGATGTGGGAGAGAGTATCGGAGAAAAGATGGAGAGAGAGAGACGTGTGGGGGAGAGGAGGAGGAGGAAGAAAAGAAAAACAGGCAGCATTTTAATTGCTTTTTAAAAAAAGTGCAGATGAAAAACAGTGTTTGCCTGGAGGGGCATGGTGAAATTCTAGCTGGAAGAATTGCAAGACCATATGAGAAAGGACGACCGCAGGCGCTACAGGGAGATGAGTATTGGTTTTTTATAAAGCATTTTGCATCGATTTCCAAAGGGGGGAAAAAGAGAGAGAGAGAGGAAAAACAAGAGCTTTAGAAAGTGCATAAGGTGACGACTATAGAGTAGACTTGCGTGGAAGAGTGTATGAATTACATCGTGCATTAAAGAAAGAAACGGTCTGTAAATGCATGCACCTGGCAGAGCTCAGTGAACTGTGTTTGTGTTTGCAAATCACTTCCTTATGCAGAGTCAATAGGCGACGTTCGACAATAAACGCCTTTATACCCCGGCTGTTGTTCGTTATGCAGGCTTTGACAAGCAGTCGGCCTAATTTCTTTGCGCTTATGAGAGCCGTCAGCTGATCCAGGAACTGTAGCGATGATTAAAGAGGAGATTGCATCAGAGCGGCGATGGCGCTGTCGCTCGGCTAGGAACGGAAGGAAATGCTGATCGTATCAAGAGTTCATAAAGAGAACTGAAGTGCATGCAGAAAGATGAAGGTATTTCCAGGTGTGTAAGCTGAGCCGCTGAATGAGGCATTTGTGCTGTATAATAGATTTAGCATTGAAATGTTGTGTATCGTGCATTGAAAGCGGTTATGAGACGTTAGAATCTGAAGTTTTAGAATTAGTAGATTAGTGGAGGAATGTATTAGAGACATCTGCACTTTTTGTCTAGTGATGGACACAAACTGTTCCAAAACCTAGTGAGCTGCCTTTATAGGGAGCATCCCAACAAATCATTGAACATCAAAAGTGACTGATTTGATTTTTTTTTTTATTGTATTCTAATGGGCATTAAAATAAGTATGAATTTTTTTTAATTTAACACATTTTTTTCTTTTTTTATGATTGCAGTTAACTCTGAAATTGTACAAATAAAAAATAAAAAAATAAAAAAATATCTTCTTTTTTTTTATTCCTATGACTTCAGAGTTAACAGACTCCTGCCTAACTTTTTCTAAGTTTTCCTAAATCAGCTTTTTCTCAAAAAGTGAAAAAATAGGTTTAAAAATATGGTAGATTGGGAGAATAACATATCATAATGTATTAAGAGCTCCATTCCGAAACCTAGTGAGCCGCCTACATAGGGAGCATCCCAGCAAATTATGGAACCTCATAAGTGACTGATTTGATTTGTTTTTTAATGATTTCAGTTAACACTGAAACTATACAAATAAAAAATATCTAATTTTTTTTTCTTATGATTTCAGAGTTAACATACTCCTGGCTAACTTGTTGTGTTAGGCCAAGTTTTCCTAAACCAGCTTTTTCTCAAAAAGTGAAAAATAGGTTAAAAATGGTAGATTGGGAGAAGAATGTATTATAATGTATTAGGAGTGTTTGCTCTGTTCCAAAACCTAGTGAGCTGCCTACGTAGTGAGCATCCCAACAAATCATGGAACCTCACAAGTGACTGATTTTATTTTTAATTTTTTTTATTGTACTCTAATAGTCATCAAAATAAATGATTTTTTTACATTTAACAAAAAATATTTTTTTTCTTTTTTATGATTGCAGTTAACTCTGAAATTATAAAAATTAAAAATATTTATTTATTTATTTATTTATTCATTCATTCATTCATTCATTCATATGATTTCAGAGTTAGCAGACTAACTTATGTTAGGCCAAGTTGTCCTAAATCAACTTTTTGATTTTTTTGTTTTTTTGAATTTTTACTGTACTCTAATAATAAGCAACAAAATACACAGCAAATGGGTAAAATATTACATTTCTAATCACCTAACTATTTTATCAGTATTTTTCAGTTCTCAAAGACATTCAAGTTTATTTAGAATCAGGATTTCTCACATTGTCTTGAATTTAGCATTTCACTGATCAGGTTGTAATGTGTTCTGGGATTGCAAGTTAAAAAATGATCTGGCCTAGACACTTCAATTACACTTTAAATGCCCCATTGTAATTAAATAACAAAATATCAAAGCAAATGCAGCTGAATTATGGTCCTGTTCCACTAATTCTAGACAAACACACAGTGCCAAAATACTGTCTGTTTAAATCTGTTGTTTTGTCTTTTTAAATATGCTTAAAAATAAAGTTATTTATTGGCATCAATGGTTCCATGAAGAACATCCATGGAAACTTTCCATTCCATAAAATAAGAAGTTTCTTTAGATTATTAAAATGATCTTCTCAATAACAAAAAATGTTGCTTTTAAAATTTGATCACTGAAAGGTTTGCAAAATGGAGTGCTTATGCGGTCTGTCATTCAAATAAATGACATAAAATTGTCGAAAATACATTAAGATATTTTTTTGTGTGATGTAAAGTTGTTTAGAGGAGACTGTAACTAGGAAAAGCACAGTCAACACAGTTTTATCCTCATGTTTGGAAACTTTTAACTGCAAACAGTCTATACTAGTGTTTGCTAAGTTAATCGCTATGACTCATAATGACTGTCTAGTTTATATATGCAAATCATCTGAAGGCTTTTATGCGACTCTCCTGCTTTATGACATCTTGTGGGAGTTATTAATTGGCATGTGACGGTTGAGATGATGAACCGGAGCTGCGGTGTATTCATCTCACAGCAAAGAAGGACTTGAAACGCTTTTCTCAGCCACTCAAATCCGCCTAAAGCCTCTTGTTTCAGAAGCGAGCGTTAATGCGTTTTTGGCCGGCCACTAATAAAATTGAAAAATAAATGCTAATTGTTTCATGCATTTAAAGGAGGCTGGCCTCACTCCATTAACTGTGAGTGTGTGTGTGTGTGTGTGTGTGTGTTTTAATTTTCAGGATCAGCCGGCTGTTTAACGGAACCGAGCCCATCGTTCTGGACAGTTTAAAGCAGCATTACTTCATTGACAGGGACGGAGAGATTTTCCGCTATATTCTCAGTTTCCTGCGAACCTGCAAACTGCTGCTGCCGGATGACTTTAAGGTAACGGCTTACTCTGTTTGAAGCTTGTTCTTCAGTGGCTGTTTGGAGTAGAATGCATGTAGTGTACATATGTAGTGCACACTCTATAGTGCGTACAATTAAACAAAATAGTGTGTGATGCAGCATGCAGCAAGTCATGATAAATATGTGAAAAGTGTAGCATGCTGCATTGTTGTCACGTGACCTCATTGGCAGTTTTATTATAATTGAGAAACTATTATAGATTTTATTAATATTTTAATTACATTTTTGTTTTTATATTTTCAGTTTACATTTTTTTAAGGTATTAGTAATTTTGTTGTGTTTTTGTGATTTTTGTTAGTTTTTTTTATGGTTTTTATTCATTTTATTTTATTTAATTTTTAGTTTGACTTATTTTTGGTACGTCAAGTTAAACTCAGTGTTATCTTAGTATTATTGAGATAGTATTTATACTATTTATTTACACTATATTTATACTATTTATTCGCATTTTAAATTTGTATATTTTCTTTATTATATTATATATTTTTAATTTTTTAATTGAATTTTTTATTTTAGGTTTCAATTTTCAGTTCTTTTTTTTTAGTTTTAGTTATTTTAGTACATCAAGTTAATATGAATGAAAATGAGAAATGGTAGCTAGTTTTAATGTTTGATTTTATTTCAGTTAACATTTATTTTATTTCAAATAACAGAAATAGTTTAATTTTAGTGAACTATAATAAACTGTAGTTTATTATAATGAGAAATGTTGCCTTGGAAACTAGGTGAAATAAAATACGTTTTTTTTTTTTCAAGTAACACATTTTTTTATGGTTTTAGTTTTAGTTAATTATAAAAATAACAGAAATAGTTTAATTTTAGTGAACTATAATAAACTGTAGTTTATTATAATGAGAAATGTTGCCTTGGAAAAAAAAAAATAAGTATTTTTTTTTCAAGTAACACATTTTTTTATGGTTTTAGTTTTAGTTAATTATAATTAAAAAAAAACTGCTCATTACATTTCATTAATTTAGCAAGTACCATTCAGTTATCATCTTGAAAATAAATAGATTATTTGGATTTTAAATAAATTATTAGCAATTTATTCCACTTTTAAATGTTAGGAAGTTGTTGATGCATTGCATATTGGGATACACTATACATTCCTCCATTTGATCTCCATGTAATCTCATTGCTATCCAAGAGAAATGAAAGAAATCTCATATGTGATTTGTATTTCCTGTAAAACTGCTCTTGTTTATATACTTCACACACTGGCCAAGTTGTGCTGAATGAGAAAACTGACAGTAGAAGAAGACAGTTTATGCTAATGTCCGCTGTAGCGCCCCTTGTGGTAATACTGAGAATGCAGTGCGTTGCAAGCTGCAGATGAATTTCGGGTTGCATTAATGCACAAAATTCAACTTCTGTTCACATACTTGCAATAACAGCTCTTTCGAGTAATTCTGAGTTTTGGTTTTAACCATCATGACAAGCGGTGAATGCTAGGACATATTGTTGGTCGTTTGATTTGTAGTCCTGTTGTATTTGGTAGCTCCGCCCATAGTGCAAAATTACTGGTCGAAAATCCACAAAGATTTATATTAAGTATCAGATATGTTCTAATTGGCTAAGATTGTGTCACATTGCACAGTTTTCATGTAGGCGTGTATCTAGACCACAAAAATGACATTAACTTATACATGAATATATATATATATATTTATGGCTGATTTATCCTCATGAATAAACTTACTTTTATGTCTTTTAAATCTTGATCTGGATTCACTTTTGTTTTCCTCTCGTGAGTCGGACAAAGAGCCCAGTTTAGACTGGTTTGATCTGCTGATCAGCATGTGTGAAATCAGACAGAAATGCGAACGGCAGCCGGCGGTGTTAAGCGTGTCTTTATCTGTGAGGCATTGTGACTGTCATGGCCCGCGGTGGCGTACGTTTCACTAAATCAGTGTGAACGTGGAGCTAAAGCCGAATATGTTTTGCATCTCTCAGTGAAAAAAGCATAATTTGTACCAGAGATTATCAGTTGCTAAGCTGCTCGAGTAAATAAAGCATGATGCTGCTGGTGTTTGACTTTTAATGTCATTTCTCAAAGTTTTGTGACAATTTTAATGACTGATCTTTTGATTTTAGTATAGCATGCACTGATGATTCGTTCATAATAAATCCAGTGAGTAAGACCGTAAAGATTTACTTTTGATTCCAAGGTTTGTGTCACGTAGGATCTGACCTCTACATCAGCATGTGTTTGACAAAATCAAAGAGAAATGGTCATCTCTTATACAGTACGTATTAGATGGAGACGGGGGAATATCTCTGCCTTTCTCTCTCTCTCTGTCTGTCTGTGAGATGTTGTCTTGCCGGTGGGCAACAGAATAAGATCATTATTTTGGATCACAACAGGCCTGTCGGATCGCCTGAACATGGGAATTCAGGCTAGCGAATCGTCTGTCTTTCTATCTGCTCGCTTTCTTTCTTCACCTCTCTTGTATCTGGCTCTTCGTCATGTCGGTTGCATGAGGCTCAACTATAAGAGGAGCTTTAGAGAACGAGTCCTGTTAAAAACAGGGACCCAGGCGCATCTTTTAATACCTCAGCGTTCCCTCCAGCACTGATGCACCGCATGCATTTTGTCATCAGCACTGTGAAGGACAAAAGAAAAGAAAAAAGACACGGTCAAAAAGAAAAGAGCAGCTAAATATCCACATATGGAGGTTAGAAGCATGTTCAGACCAAAGTTATATATATATTCATAAACATTTTTTCACCTATAATGGTCACTTATTGTGACAAATGTTTTCAAACAATCAAAAAATATTTTGTAAAACTTATATTGCATGCATTTTATATGTTCTGCTTGTTCACTGCTTGTCTTGTTTTCAAGTGCAAATATCTAAATATTCTTAAATCAAGATGCATTTACTTAAAACGTAAAATACAAGATATTAAAATAAAATATATTATTCATTACAAAATAATTATTTTGTATATTCAAAGTTTTTATAACTTATATTGCATGCATTTTAAACATATTTCTGCTGATTCAGTGCAAAAAAAATATTTTTTGTTTTGTTTTGTTTTCCACTACAAATATCTACATTTATTCAAAAAATGTATTTACATAAGATATTAAGTCTTTTTTTCTGAAAACAATTATCATAATTAAATGAATTTAAGCTTAAAAGATGAAAACATATTTACCAATGAGGTATGAAATATAAACTTAATTCAAAAGGAAAACAATATTATTTTTCTGACACCACTGACAGATTTTGTTTCTTTTTTCATTTCCTTCTCAAGTAAATGTATCTTGAATCAAGAATACTTAGATATTTGTACTGGAAAACAAGACAAAAATACACTGTAAAAAAAACAGATGCTGCTTTAAACTTTTAAGTTAAATCAAATTGGCTGTAAAAGTAATTTAAACTTAAATTGTATTAAATTGCATTGTCTTGTAAGTTCAATCTTCTGTAATTTAAAAAATGAAGTTGATTTTTTTTAAATTATTTTGAGAAGTTACAGTAATAAAAAAACATGTTGCCATAATTATTGATTATAAGAAAATCATTTTTTGCAGTGTTTTCGTGCTGAAATGTGCAATTATTTTTATAGTGTTTTCACATTGTTTCACAGCAGCTTTACAAAAAAAATCATGATGTTAATGTTTATAATATTTTCATCTTTGTGCCTTATAGTCGCATTTTGCAGATTAGAACTGGGCAATAATATAGTTACGATATAAACAATCAAGATTTGCTATATTATCACTTTATGTGAGTATACTGTATATGAAGTTGAAGTCAAACACACTTATATATCCAAGAGCTGAGCGATAATGTAGTTTAACACAATCACGCTGTCAAAATGCAGAGAAGCTGTGTGTACAATTACTCATGCAGTTTAGTTACCATTCAGGCTGTGTGCACTTCATGACTGTTCATATCAATCTTCATGCAGATTACTCTGCAGACGTTGCACACAAAGCTGTATCCTCAGTTGAACTCCAACATTTTCCTCCCTCATGCACACCTCAGCTCCTCCCGCTCGGTGATGGAGAGTGGAGGAAGAATAGTACCATCTGGACTTGTGGGAAATTAAGGGAAAACTGAAAGGGGCAAAAAACCCCTGGCAAGACATCCCCGAGAGGAAGAGAGCGAGCGTTTGGCAGTCTGCTGTTGTCTGCCTGGATAAAGAAACGCTGAAGCCTGGAGGTCCGTCACTGACGGGCTCCAACGAGCACATGAGATCCTGCCAAACGTCTTGACTGTTGCCCCGCGGGCAGCGCTGATACCCCTCGGAGCAAAACATGCCACCCTGCACCCCAATCGCACTGCTTTTTAAAGATTCATTCACTTATTGCCTTTTATTTATGTATTTACTTGTTTTGTTGCTTTATTAGCAGCTTTTGCAGTAAAAGCATAAAAATGGCTCATTAAATATTAAACTTCAGTGTGCAACTTTCCTGCAGTGTTGCTTGGGGAAACACCACTCTTATGTTATTTAGACAGTGTAAACACGTAGACATGGGCAAAAAGAAAAGAGCAATATCCACGTATGGAGGTTAGAAACGTGTATTATATACATTAGTAACATTTTTCCCTTATGATGTCCACTTACAATGTTTTCAGACCATCTAAAATTATTTTTTAAACTTATTTTAAACATTTTCTGCTTGTTCATTGCAAAAAAAAGTACAAAAAAAATAAAAAAATAAAAATATATATATGTATATACAATATATATACAGCAGTTGTGCTGTTGTGCCAATATATAATGGAAAATAAATATATACTAGATTATATCATATATAGTATAAATAACATATATAGTATAAATAAATTATACCTGTATGTGTACTGTATATTTATACTGTATACACATACAGGTATAATATACAGTATAAATATCTAAACATTCTTGAATCAAGATGCATTTACTTAAAAAGTAAAATGACATATGATAATAATAATATTGTTTTCTAAAAAAAAAAAAGTATCAAAATTTAAGAAAAGTGTAAACATCTACTATATATTTATTGTCCATTAAAAAGACAGTTCATTATTCTTTAAAAAAATAATTATTTTTAACCTAAAACTGTAGGATTTGAATGCATTTTGTGTGTATTATATACAGTTAATTTTTTGGGATGTGGCCTGAATCTGTTGTATCATCAGTCTTTGTTGAAATAAATCAAGCAAACTGTTCTTAGGTTTATGCTTAAAACACAAAAACAATTCCTACAAATATTTGAAATATATTAATATACAAGATGTTTTCAAGCGCAGCTGAATTTTCAGCATCATTACTCCAGTCTTCAGTGTCACATGATCGTCAGAAATCATTCTAATATGCTGATTTGCTGCTCAAGAAACATTTCTGATTATTATCAATGTTGAAAACAGTTGTGCTGCCCAATATTTTTGTGGAAACTGTGAAGCATTTTATTTTTCAGGATTCATTGATGAACAGGAAGTTCAAAAGAACAGCATTTATTTGAAATAGAATATTTTGTAACATTATAAATGTCTTTACTGACACTTTTGGTCAATTTAATACATCCTTGCTGAAAAAAAGGGAGTAATTTGACCTCAAACATTTGAATGGTAGTGTGTATAATAAATAAATAAATGATAGATGCATATTCCTCATGTGTGTGTGTGTCTGTGTGTCCAGGACTTCCATCTCCTGTACGAGGAGGCGCGTTATTACCAGCTGATGCCGATGATCAAGGAGCTGGAGCGGTGGAAGCAGGAGCGGGAGCAGAGGCGTCTGGCGCAGCCCTGCGACTGCCTGGTGGTCCGCGTGACCCCTGACCTCGGCGAGCGGATCGCCCTCAGCGGGGAGAAGGTGCTCATCGAGGAGATCTTCCCCGAGACCGGTGACGTCATGTGTAACTCAGTCAACGCTGGCTGGAACCAGGACCCGACCCACGTCATCCGCTTCCCCCTGAACGGCTACTGCAGACTGAACTCGGTGCAGGTAAAGCCATGTGCTGCTCTCATCTGTCTGAGACATCGCTTTATTCCTGCATGTTTAACATCACGCTATCACGGTTCATCTGCTCAGTGGAGGCGTGTTTATTTAATGTGGGCGGAGTTTAGAACATCTGTGTAAATGCTGAAATAAATAATAGTTTGTCATACTGTCTAAATGTTTAGCAACTTGATTATTAAACTAGTTCAGTATCACTGGATTCTGTTCCAAACCCTATCTAGACAGCATTTTTTGGCATCACGGATTTAGCCCTGACGTGAAAGCTGATCTAAATAGTATGAAACAAAATGTCTCATTTAACCAAAATAGTGTTCGAATGTTTATTTTATTTTATTAAAAAATACGGTAAAAATTTGAAATATTATTACAATTTAAAATAAATATTTTCTATGTGAATATATGCTAAAATGTAATTTATTTCTGTGATCAAAGCTGAATTTTCAGCATCATTACTCCAGTCTTCAGTGTCACATGATCTTCAGAAATCATTCTAATATGCTGATTTTCCCAAGAATCATTTCTGATTATTATCAGTGTTGAAAACAGTTGTGCTGCATCATGCTTCATATTTTTGTGGAAACCGTGATGCATTTTATTTTTCAGGATTCTTTGGTGAATAGAAAGTTCAAAAGAACAGCATTTATTTGAAATAGAAATGATTTATAACATTATAAATATATTTTATTATAAATATCTTTACTGTTGCATTACTAATGTAATGCATCCTTGCCAAATAAAAGTAATAATTTCTCTCATAAATAAATACTCTTATTGATTCCAAACTATTTGAACATTAGTGTATGAGCCATCAAAAAAAAAATAATAATAATAAAAATAAAAATAAAATAAATACGGGGAAAAAATAAGGAAAAAGACCCCCCAAAAATACAAAATACATGCACAAAACAGTACTTTCCATATGGCAGGGAACAAAAAAAATCTGGCCAAAATATATTTTAAATATATGCTAAATATTTGTTAAGCATCTCTGCTGAATCAAGGTATTAATTTCTTTCAAAAAAAGAAAGGGAAAAACGTACCGACCCCAAACTTTTGAACAGTAATGTATTTTGCATGCATGGTTAATACAATCCCAGAATGCATTGCTGCTCAGAAGAAAAAATCATAAAAGTAGATGTAGTTAAGAGACGTTTTAACAATAAATGTTTCATTCAGTGCTGAAAAGTATTACTAAAATAGTCAATTACAAATATATTTGAATATATAGAGTTCTGAAAAGCATTCATAAAAATCAAATTATAAATATCAAATTTAAAGCCAACTATTTACCAAATATTTTTGTGTGCATGATGTATTTTTGAGCTGATTAGAGTATCATGTAATTAACTTTGCAGCATGTTATTATCAGACTATTAGACTGAGAGTGTTAGTTGGGTTTCATCAGTTTCATGCGAGTAGTGCTGTTTGAGTGGAGTTGTTAACTTTTGTCTTGCTTTGTTTTCTATGTCTGTCTTTGATTGATAGAACATCTGTAAACATATGCGATCTCTAAAAGGTGACAGAATTTGATTTGGATGCCGATTTGCATGATATAAATCATTATACCACCTATCCACATTAAAGCTGATGGTATATTAATAAAAAGGAGGCTCAAGCTGTATTTCAGACACACACACCTGTCCGCACCTCTCAGGGTGGAGCAAAGCGCGCAACAAAACGCCTTTTCATGTGCAGCCGTATTTTTTCACTCCCTCAAAAACAAAGTGCAAGAGCGAGAAGAAAAGAGAGGCTAGAAAATTAAATGCATAATTTACACGTTTCTTCTTTTTAAGACACAGCGCTTCCCTTTTAAAAAAAGACTCCAACGTAACAACGCCCAGAGCGGTTGAAATACACGTATTGCATTTTTTAATACCATACTTACACTTTCTCAAACAGCCTCAACCCCTTTATGCTTCTTTTATAGATTTCTAAATGGCTTGCAATATAATTAATTGGCTGCATCAACTAACACAACATTTTCTTTCTGCGTTTCCAGTAAGAGCGTGTCCCTTTCTATCTGCCCTCTCTTTGTTTGCTCGCTCGAGCTCTATTTCTTTTCTAAAACTAGTGGGTTTGTGTAAAGCGATGAAGCAGGTCTTTTTGTTTCCGACAGGAGCTCGTTTGTCTGTTTCTGAAGCTGGTAACTTTAACATGCATCTCTTTTAAAAAGCCATGAGAGAGACTCCACTGTTGCTCAGCTAATGATGCAGAGCTCTAATATCCATAAACGTAACATAAACACACAAACAATGGGTAAAACACTCTTGTTTTTGATTTGATTGAACTGTTTTGCTTCTCAGTATACTGATATTCTGCATTTCTCGCCCACTGTATTGAATCATTTGGATCTTTTGACAATGCATTCTGATTGCTTTAGTGATGAAGGATGCATGATTTTGGTGAAATGAGATTAATGCTGCTGTCTGTGTTTTGAAACAGCCGTCATATCTGGAATGTAGTGATGATGTCTTCATGATGTCTGATATCTATTTAGGCAGCTCACTAGGATTTGGAACAGAGCTCACTTTATCACTTAATTAATGCATTGCAAAAACATTTTCATCATTTGTATTTTTGCCTTATTTTCCATTTAAAAAAAAATTTAAAAAAATTTTTTTTAAATAAAATCAGTTTGCGTAAGGAGACAAATTGCTTGTTTTAAGCATAAAACTTATTATGTTGGTAAAAATGTTAGGATTAAAATGAGAAAAAATGGCAATACACTGTTTTTCGAATTTGTAAAATAAAACAAAACAGTTGTCTTTCTACGTCAAAATGTCAGGTTTAATTTAATGAGTTACTTGCCATTTTTTTTTATTATTTGTGAAATTTACGAGCAACTTCTGAGAACAAAATGAAAATGGCATTTGAATAATTTTTTCAGTGTAATGTACTAAAATAAATATTAATAATTCAAACAGTGAAACATGATCATTGAATTACAGTTTTTATTAAGATTTAGAATTTTACGTTTTCTGTTTTCATTTTCATTTTAGTTACATTTTTATTTAATTTGTTCTCTGTGTGTGTGTGTGTGTGTGTGTGTGTGTGTGTGTGTGTCGTTTTTAGTATTTTTTGTTTATGTCTAGTTTTTTTTATTGTTATTTCAGGTTTAGTTTAAAGTTATTTTAGTATATCAAATTAAACTAAATTAAAGTGAAAAATGTTCCCTTTGCAAATAGCTGAATAAAAAGTTTCTTATTTTATTACAGTTAATGTTTATTTTATTACAAGTTATGATTTTTTATGGTTTTCATTTTCGTTTCGGTTTTAGTTGACTATTATAACCCTGAGTTCAAAAACAAGTCTTATTTCAGTTCTTACAATTTTGCTTTTTAACTAAATGTGTTTTGTTTTAAGGATTATGAAGAAAATCTTTTTTTTTGCAGTGTGCTTCTCTAATTCTCTAATTGAGTCGGTGACCTTGTGACCTCTAGAGCGAGTGTTGCTTGTTTCAAATCTCACTTTAGTCTTTTTAGATGGGCAGCACACGGGCAGCCTGGTTGGGCGGATGTAGATGGAAAGGGTGTGTTTTCTGTTTCCTGAAACGTTTTTGAACACTGCACTCCTGTCGGTTGACTCATTGTGTGGATGATACAGTCATCCTGTTTCACTGTACGACACAATACAGCTCTGATCTGGTTACTGGCTGGAAACATCGCTGCAGGCAACTAAACAGCCACACCTCACCTCAGACAGACAGAGGACAGAGCTCATTAAGAGAGTTAAACGAGTTTGTGGGCTTCGTTTTAAGTTTGTGGGCTTTGTCTACATTATATGTGACCAAATGTCCTCAAAATGATTGTAAAACCTGGTTTATAAAAAGAAATATATGCTAAACGGCTCAGAACACCCTAGGGAAAAACAAGTAGCAGACTTTTAAAAAGAGTAGATGTGGAAATTCTTTAAAAGAATACGTGCAAACTAACTGAATGCTTTTGCACACTTAATTGCATGTAAGTTGCAAACAAACTAACAAATTTAAGTTTAAGTTTATATTAATTGCAATTAGTTGCAAAGAGTGCTTTTTTTGTGAAATAGGATTTATATTTTGAATTATGGTTCAAAGCAATGGCGTGCACAGACATTTGTAGTGATACATTAACACTACGGTTAAAATTATTAATGGTGCTTTACATGTACTTTAGTGTTAGTCACCACATCATAATAAGTGTACTTCTTTAAAGCATGACAAAAGATTATTATATGTGATCCTGGAGCACAAAAGCAGTCTTAAGTAGCACAGGTATATTTGTAGCAATAGCCAACAATACATTGTATGGGTCAAAATTATAGATTTTTCTTTTATGCCAAAAATCATTAGGATATTAAGTAAAGATCATGTTCCATGAAGATATTTTGTACATTTCCTACTGTAAATATATCAAAACTTAATTTTTGATTAGTAATATGCATTGCTAAGAACTTCATTTGGACAACTTTAAAGATGATTTTCTCAATATTTAGATTTTTTTGCACCCTCAGATTCCAGATTTTCAAATAGTTGTATCTCGGCCAAATATTGTTGTATCCTAACAAACCATACATCAATAGAACGCTTATTTATTCAGCTTTCAGATGATGTATAAATCTCAATTTCAAAAAATTGACACTTAAGATTGGTTTTGTGCTCCAGGGTCACATATAAAATGATTTAAAGTATACTTCCAAGTAAGTATTTTTAATTTGACATTTGTTATAAAGCAGGGTTATTATACTTATCTAAAACTAAATTTAGAACCATAAAAAAGTTACTTTAAAATAAAAAATAAAATAAAATAAAAAAATCTGCTAGTTACCAAGGCAATATTTCTGATAACTAAAATTAAACCTGCAATTAAAAATATATAGTCATGTATTTAAAAAAAAAGGGAAAAAAAGACAGAAACACTTAACAAAATTAATAAAGCTTTAACTAAAATTGAAATGAAAATATAAAAATAAAAACTTAAACAAAATATTAATAAAAAATAGTACTTAAGTAGCCTTTTGTTTCATTAATATTATATTATCTACAAGTACAGTATTTTTTTTTTTAAATACTTTTAAGATTTGAAGTACACTACAAGTACACATTCAATACAGTTAAGTACATACTAGCTTTATTGTGGCTAGTTTTGCTGTTTTTGCACTATGCTAACTAGTAAAGTTTAGCTTCGGCTTTTAGAAGTGGACTCATTTAGCTTGAAAAAGTGAGAGAAGAAACTAATAAACCAGCTGAGAGTGAAAAATCACAGCAGATGAGTGACACGTCTGGAACTTTAGAACAAGTGAAAGCACCTGCGCTGAGACAGAGAGAGATTGACGGAGTCTGGAGACTGAGAGGACAACAGACCACGCACGTGAACCGCTTCAGAGAGGAAAAACATTTAGCCAACACACACACAGACAGACACACACACACTCACTCACATGCTCATAGTGTCCCACAGCTGAAGCTGTCCGGCTCCGTCCATATCTCACAGTGATGGAGGACCGGGATCAGCACAGACTCTGGTGAACCTCCATCAAACTGACAGACGTGCCACAGATACACGACACAGAGCCGTTCTCACACTCTCACACACACACACACACACACACACACACACAAGAAATCATTCTAATATGCTGATTTGCTGCTCAAGAAACATTTCTGATTATTATCAACGTTGAAAACAGTTGTGCTGCCCAATATTTTTGTGGAAACCGTGTTTATATAACCGCATTTATTTGAAATAGAAATCTTCTGTAATATTGTCTTTACTGTCACTTTTGATCAGTTTAATGTGTCCTTTCTGATAAAAAGTATGAATTTCTTTAAAAAATATTTTACTGACCCCAAACATTTGAATGGTAGTGTACATATCATTGACTTTAATTTATTAATTTATTTAGCAGACACTTTTATCTTATAAACTATTCTACAATTTAAAACAGCTGTTTTCTATGTGAATACATGTTAAAATGTAATTTATTTCTGTGATCAAAGCTGAATTTTCAGCATCATTACTCCAGTCTTCAGTGTCACATGATCTTCAGAAATCATTCTAATATGCTGATTTTCCCAAGAAACATTTCTGATTATTATCAATGTTGAAAACAGTTGTGCTGCCCAATATTTTTGTGGAAACCGTGTTTATATAACAGCATTTATTTGAAATAGAAATCTTCTGTAATATTGTCTTTGCTGTCACTTTTGATCAGTTTAATGTGTCCTTTCTGATAAAAAGTATTAATTTATTTAAAAAATATCTTACTGACCCCAAACATTTGAATGGTAGTGTACATATCATTGACTTTAATTTATTAATTTATTTAGCAGACACTTTTATCTTATAAACTATTCTACACCTGACCTAAACTATTTGGCATTTTCAAATTGACATTGATATTTGGTTCGTTTATGAAACTCTTTACCAGTTTTTAACAAGTTTTACTCTATGTCTGAGGACATTTTCAAAATGTTGCCTTCCCAGGTATAATGAAATAAGTATAAAGAATCATCAAGAATCATAGAATATACGGTCTGTACAGTAGAAAAACCATTACGCCTATGGGATGTCCCCACTTTTCACAAAAACAAACCTGTGTGTGTGTGTGTGTGTGTGTGTGTGTGTGTGTGTGTGTGTGTGTGTGTGTGTGTGTGTCTCTCTCTCTCACCTGTCCTGATCTCGTCTGAGTCTGTCAGGGAGACAAACGTTTGTTCTCGATTGTCTTTGCCAGGAGTCAGACTCACGTGACGCTCCTGTGAGAGATTCCAGGTTCCCGTTGTGTCATTGATGTCATCATGAATCTGATTTTTTTACGTGAGAATAATGTGTGTGATTTAGACTGAATGCAGGCTGCTGTGAAACAGAGCAGGTTCAGATGATTGAGGTTGATGCCAGGCTTGTTTTTAAGCTTCAGATGTCAGTATGTTTGGTTGGTGTGAAAGCAGCTTTCCAAACTCACGTGAACAGCAGAGTCCATCAGAAAATCTGATCCAGGGTTCAGACGGTTCACAGTGCATATGATGCAGTCAGCAGTTCACTTCTGTGAGTCAGGATTGTCAATTCATGATTCATTTGGTTTTTTTTTGTTGCTCATAGTCACTCTTATTATATTATAAAGCCCTTTGTTATGTTATGTTGTTTAGTAAATCTTTAAATATACCACCTTCAGAGAGATTCAAACCATACAGCAAAAAAAAAAAGTTTTTAAATATTTATTTCTAAATTGTAAACATATATTTGCTAAAATGTGTTTAAAAATATATTTATGTAAAAAAAAAAAAAGTGGTATATTTTTGAAAATATTATCTATCTATCTATCTGTCTATCTATCTGTCTGTCTGTCTGTCTGTCTGTCTGTCATTACAATATTACAATAAATGAAAAATTTATTAAACATTATTAGGTCATAAATCAGATTTTGATAGGCTTTTCCATCCACATTTGCATTTATCCTAAACTATATTTTGGCAAATGAAGGTTGAATCTATATATTTTTTAAATATTTTAAATATATATTTCATTTAGATTTACTGTTTACAAAATTTTTCAAATAAATGTTGTTCTTTTGAACTTTCTATTCATCTGTGAATCCTGAAAAATAAAATGTATCACGGTTTCCGCAAAAAATATTGAGCAGCACAACTGTTTTCTACATTGATAATAATCAGACATGTTTCTTGAGCAGCAAATCAGCATATTAGTATGATTTCTGAAGACTGGAATAATGATGCTGACAATTCAGCTTTGATCACAGAAATAAATTACATTTTAACATATTCACATAGAAAACAGCTATTTTAAATTGTAATAATATTTTAGATTTTTACTGTATTCTTGAAGGAAATCTTTTGGATTGACAGTGAGTGTTGTGTGTGTGTTTCAGGTGTTGGAGCGTCTCTTCCAGAAGGGTTTCAGCGTGGCTGCGTCCTGCGGCGGCGGCGTGGACTCGTCTCAGTTCAGCGAGTATGTTCTGTGTCGCGAGGACAGGAGGAGTCAGTCCACAAACACGCCCATCAGGATAAAGCAGGAGCCGCTGGACTAGAGACACGCGCTCAGGCCCTCGGCCCCTCGACACACACACACACACTCTCAGCGTTTATATGGGGAATGTAATCAAACTGCACCAGAAACCCAAAGAACTCCAGCAGGATATGAGCCCCGCCCTGTTCCACCCAAACCACCAATCGGAGGACGTCCTCACGCATACGGAACATAGGCTCCGCCTCTCTGCCAGTGCAGTGTGTGTGTCATTATCTCGTGACAATTGCGGCGCAGTGCTCACGAACAAAAAAAAAACGCCATCGTCAGGGGCCGGGGGTCCATTTTTTTGGATTGTTTTTCATTTCATCCTTGTATCTAAAGACGTTTTTCACTCCTTATAGCACCATGTTGTATGCGGTTAGCAGTACTAGACTGGAGTTTTGTGTTTATTTCTTTTGTGACATGAAGGATGATGGGAGTGGTGTTCTGAAGGCATTACGTTTGAGAGACTTTCCTGGCAGGAAAACGCTATTGCGCCCTCGGGCTGCGTGGCCGAGCAGTCTGGGGTTTAATGCGTTTGCTGCTGAAGGTTTCTTTGTTTAAAGGAGCTGCAAGCAAACGTGGCTATTTCTGAAGCTAGAGCATTAAGCATATCGTTAAACATCTGAAATTTTTATAAGCTCGCCGATGCTTGAATCAAATGAGTTCTGAACTATACGGTACCTATACAAAGAGTTGTGTGTGTCAAGAACAAAATGTAAGGAGCTCGAGGCAAAACATGGGCAGATGAAGACGTATGATTGTGTCTGTACCGTACGTTTGCACTTAAATGTGTCGTGAAAACAAGCCGCCCGCATGTTTAAAGATTCAGTGGAAATAGACTGCAGTTGACAGAATGAGGGTACTAACTATGATGCATTAATTTTTAAACCATCTTTGCGAATGAATAATTGTTATTCATCAGCCCAGTTTTAGTTTGAAGTTGTCCGTTTTCTATTTTGATGTCAAAATGTTGTCGGATGCTGAGTAAACGGTGGATACGTTGTGAAAAAGGTGCTTGATTTCATCAGATGTGTGTGTGATGAATGTGTCCAAATGCTCAACACAGAGAACTAGCATTCCAGAGATGTATTGTTTCTCTGTCTGGAAAAAAATATATATATTGTTTGCAAATATAAATCTTTTGCCATAAATTTTATGTAAAAAATTCTAACCGTTCCCTCAAAGCCAGTTTTTAAATGCATTATTTAGCCTACTAGCTTTAACCCTTCTATTGGCTGAGCATTTTTTTTTTAATTATCATATATATA